GCAATTGTTTTTCATAGAAACAAACAGTCTTCAAAGCAGCCTTTAACAACTCGATATTACAAACATGCCTCTTAAGTTCTTTATGCGTTTTTTTCTCTCTTGTGATTATTTGTAATGTTAACGCCGAAAGTTTACGTCATTCTGTTATTTACTTTGAACATATATTTTCATTTTGTGTTAGTATTTTCAAAATTTTACTAAATCTTGTAAAACTAAACAATTATACCTTGGAAAGTTTCTGTCAGTCTTCAGATATAGTCAAATAAAAATAGGCGTCAAATTCATTTAAATTAAATTCTTTCATATCACGTTACAACGCGTTGCTTCATATTTTTTATGTCAAGTATATTTTCATATTTTTTACATATATGTTTATACACATTACTGTTTACGGAACAATGTTAATTATGGATTTATGGATAACTCCTCGTATAAGAGCAGAGTGAAGGGTGTTTGCCTTTGCTAATGTTTGATGGCGCCATCTGATTTAGAGTATAATAAACCTAATACGTTGGCTCACTGTAGTAAAAATGCGCGTTGACGAAAAATTTGTCCCGCGCCCCCTGGATTCCTTGTCCTAAAGCTCACTATTTAGGCGAAGTAAAATTTGTATTAGGTTGTCCAACTATAATATACTTAAACAATGGTAGCAGTGTGAAACAAAGTCATGTCGTGGATTAGTTCACACTGACGAGTCTTTAAAAATAAAAGACGTGTCTATCTATATTGTTTACTTGTTGAGAAAAAAATCCTATAAATACTTATCAGTCTCTAAGTACTCAAAATAAAGTAAAGTCGGAACTATATGTATAAAGCCGCACTTCCGCATTGCTCTCCTGTCTCTTGTAAACATAAACAGTGTAAAAAACGTCATGAGATTTAAGTGAGTGTGCAGCTTAAACTGTACAGTAAATTTAAAGGTGTCGTAGACATGCCTCAAAAAGCGCATGCGCATCTTAATGTCATAGCGGTTATTAACGAACAAATAATCCCTTTAAATTCTGAATACAGTTTGACACTAATAAAATGACACTAACCCGTGGATTAAATTGACTCCATTAAGTTTGAACGACTTAATAGTAAAGCACATTGATATAATTTTAGACATTAATTAAAGAAAAAATATACTTTGACTAATCTGTGTGCCTTAAGTAAGTACTTTAGACCAATGGAAGATTTTCAACTTCGCCCATTTCCGTGCAGGTCTCCTCGTCCATCACAAAACTCACGATAAACTTGAGAAACAGTTGTACATCTTCAGGACACGCGATTACCATGATTTGCGTTATGGCGGCGGGGGGTAGGAAGGGGTTGTAGGATGGAAGAGTCGTCGCAGACGGGGGCTGCAATTTTAACTTACAACCCTGAAAATAACCATCACTAAGAATTTACAAACACACGAATTATTCATACCTTAGGTACAACAGCTTGAAATAAATAGTTCGTTAAAGGCATCTCGTTTTTATTTATGGTGGTTACGACGAAAACGTGCACGTCGTTCCTGGGCTTGTCTTTAACAAAGTGCAACGTTATGCTAATCCCGTTCCTGTCGTTTAGAATCGTTAGAGGGGGGACAGTGCTGGGTTTGATGTCCTCCAGTTTGATGAAAATGTCGCTCAACTTGACGTCGTGGTTTTTCACAGTCGTTTCGCTTATACTAAGTTTTCTTTGGTTGTCGTTTATTGCACTTTCGTCGGCTTCCAGGAGCTTCTCGTCCGCTAGATCCACCAAACAATCGTCTCCCGAGTTTTCGGTCGCGCCGGCTTTGGGTTCGTCTTTAGGTTTACTAATTAAATAATTTAAGTCTAGGTTGAGGGATTCATTTATGGAGTTTTCTTGTTTAGGGAGCGGTTGAGGGGGCTTCATTTCTGAGATTTTTGATAGGAGATTCATGGGGATTTTGTCTTGATTCCTGGAAAACAGAGTGAGATGGTGACACGTCTCGCGTGACTTTGTATACTTGCTAAAACTGCTTTGTCTGGTGGATTGGAGGTTTTCTTTGAACAAATGCTCACTCAGTGCGTCTAGATCCTCCAGCGCTTTGAATCTGTTCACTTCAGGTTCTTGTCCACCATTACTTTTATCTACAATTACGCCAAATAGTTTGTTTTTATACCCACTGGGTTGTAAATTACCACAAGATAATACTGAGGTTGGTTGTAAAATATCAGCAGAATCAGGAATGTTAGAGTTATTAAAAATATCACATAAGACATCAATTTCATTCTCTTTGGTTTCAGTATTTTGGCATTTTGCACCGTCATTCGAGGCATTCACAGAGTTATCAAAATCCAGCAACGGGTTACTACCGTCGTCCAAAACACTAATACCTTTTATAATAATTTTGTTAAATTTACTAAAAACTTGACTTAGCTCATCACTAGTTTGTAAAACATCACCTGGAACAACAATAATGGACGCGGTTTCGTGACCAAGCCCGCTTAAGGTCACTCACCTAACATTTCTTCATTCTGCTGAGTTTCTGCAGCCAGCTTCATCAAATTTGGCCTTAGGCGCTCACAGCTTTGATGCAGTTCCTTAATTAAGTCTAACTCGTCCCCAGACGAAATTCCCGGTTTATAAGAGTCCAGCATTTCATTCAATAACCGGACGTTATTCTGGACTGATTCTAGCTCAGACACGCGTTTGCTTTTAAGCTCTGCGCGTTTATCATCCTAAACAAACAAACACTGGTAACAAATTTAGTAATCACAAAACAACATAGTTACCTCCTTGACCATACTTTTAATCAGCCAATTGGCGGCTTGAATGTCCTCTGGGTCCTTACTCTGCAGCAACTTCTGCAAAATTTTTGATTTCTCCTCATCCTGGAACACCGAGTTCGCGGGCTTCTTCCGCACCGCGTTCACACTCTGCAGCGTAATATTCGGGTTCGGGATCTCCTTAATAACCCCCTGCTTTCGCAGCATGTCGTACGCTTCTTTGATTTTACTCTCCTTGGGATAATCCAGCGTCCACACATACATCAACTGCAAAACCTTCTGTTTCACCACTAACGGCGTCTGCGAACCCAAATATTTCGGCGAAACTAACTTAATCATCTCGTTTAGAAACCTAAATTTTCCCACTTCCGACTGGAACTGGCCGCCGCACTTCCCCATGCACGTGTCGAGGATGTTGAGGGTCTGCAGGAGCTCCCGCTCGGTGCCCGAGGGAAGCCGGTTGGCTATCACCTTGACGCCGATGTGGGGCCCATCCTTCTCTTTGTTTACTAAGGCGCAGAAAGCCTCGACGGCGGCCGTGTCAATGTTTTGATTTTGAGAGTTGGTGGCTTTTACTGGAAGTAGAGAGTGGGGAAAAGCGGGCTTGCGGGGGCGCGTTGGGTACTTACAGAGGAGGGCCTCGAGACTAGTTTGGGTGACTAAATCCATGGTTTGAGATTGAGTTAATTTATTTTAACCATATTATTTTCATGTCGGTCAAACGTCAGAAACGTCAATCGCGTGTTGGATTTAAATCCGAAAGTCCCCGTTAGGGAGTTTGGCGAGGTGCGGGTGGCGCAGTGAAGCGGCGCCATTATCGTCTGAAATAAGCGGGCTTTGAAAAAGTTCGTCGAAGGTGCATAATTGTAGAAAAATTGTGTTAAAAGAGGTTTATTTGTTTAATTGAACCATCCACAACGTGTGGGGGTCATTATTTTGCTATATTTTGTTGTTTGTTGTGTGTTTTGAACCCAAACTTTGTGTGTGTTAGTTTGCTAATAATTGTTGCTAAAACTGTTTTTAGGTTAATTTAGATAAGTATTTTTTGCTTTTAGCACTTCTAGAAATGTTCCCGTTTTATATTTGTGTCGATTTTACTGATACGGAAGAATCGATGGTAGGGGAGATTGACTACAAAAGCACCGTTTTGTGAAGGTAGGGGAGACTACAACAAGTCGGACGCGGAAAACCAAAGTATGTGGTATGAATCGTAATATTATTCAAAGCACTCTAAAAACATTAAACTTTGACGGCGACCGCAATGCGCTTTTCCACATGAGTTCATATCGTGAAAACAATCGATGTCTGGGCGGAGTTCATGTATGGTGAATTTTCTTTGTATTATTTATGAGAAACCTGTTGTAAAAACTAGGTTTAATAATAAGTCTTGCAATAAATAACTATTTGTCCTTATCGCTTCAGTAATTTTTCCAGGTGATAACATTTTCGCGTATATTACACACGCAGCTAGTTAGTCATCGAAATGGTGCTAAAAATTAGTTGCTTATTGTGTGTAATTGCAACTAATATTAGTAATAGACACCTTATTTTTTTAACTTTGTGGTTCAAATAATGTGATCTGTAGACGCTTGCCGTCAGAATGAGACGCTAGGATTTCTGGTTAGTTGCGAATTTTCTTGCACCAATTTAAAACAGATCTGCAGATTTGCAACGACTTGTGTTTGCAAGAAACAACTTTTTCGCAACCACAAAAATGGATTGTGCGTGCTGGAAAAGAATTGTCCTGATCAAATTAAATTGATGATTCTACATACAAGTTCGTTTTTATTTTTTAAGTTATAGTTTTGTGTAACTAATGGGTTTCTAGTTTTCAGAATTAAACATATTGTATTAAGATTTTTCCAGATGTTTCTGCCAAGGCCGCTTGTTACTGCCATCAAATTACTAGCGACTATTAGGCGTTTTTTGTTGTAAATGTATTTTAGCACAAATTCGTGTGCTATCAACCTCAGTTCTGTTATTACGATTCCATTAAAAAATTTTGGTCGGTTTTTATTGTACATTAAAAAAATCGCACTAAATGAGGCATAAATCTGATTTATTTAATTTAATTGTGTGTACCGGTTTTGTTTATCAGTTTTAACGTTTTTACATACATTTGTGTGTTATGGAGTAATTTTCAAATGATGTTGCAACTGACGCACTACCGGTATTACTCAGCTTTATTACCAAGCAGGAATCACATTTATCGCTTGAAATTATCATTTTTAGTACTCTAGTTAACATAACGTTGGTCTTTAGACATAGTCATAGTTCTAAACAAGTCGCGATTATGTTGTGTAGAGCTATTTTATTATTATTATTATTATTTCTCGCAACCGTTGTAGCTGCCAATCACGGTACTAATAATAAAATAGTTGCACGGACAATAACAATCAGAAAACGTTATTTTATCAGACAGATGTACTGCCAATCAAACGAGAGGTTTGATTCTTAGCTGCGAAACGTCTTGCGTTAAGTCGCAACACGTCTGCACACTTGGATCTGCGTGTGTTTGCAAGAACGGACTTTTTAGAGATCAGAAAACGGGTTTGTGTGTTTTACCTGGCGAGTGTCCACGTAAGAGACAACTATTTTTGGTTAATGTAGTTTGTATGTTTTAATTTTTCTCTATATTATGTGCTTATTTCATTGTTTCAGCCTTCTTGCTTTTTCACGTTGTACTTAGTTTTATCGCAGATTTTATCGCAGTATTTCTGCCAAGGTAACGTTCGGTCTATTTTACCAAGTGACTTAGTTTTGTTTTTAGTCCCGTTGTAAGCTTTATCCGATTTCTTATGACAGCGAATAACGTTCGAAGATTAATGATGTCGTACAAAATTATGTTATAGCACCATTTTGGATATGAAAAGTAAGTGTTTATGCTTTTACAATAGTTAATTTTATGCATATTATATTATACGTTTAACCTTGCAGGACTTTGCACAGATAAGGCATTATTATACTACTTTGGTTTGGAAAATCCATCACGTTTTTTTGTAGATGACTTTAGTTAATAATCGAAAAATGTTGTAGTAATTTTTACACGTTTGTTCCATTATTACCACTGTGGATATAGGAACACGACCGATGGCCTACATTTTTTAGCGAATCAAATGCTGACCCTTTTGGACTGTGTAAATTTATAATACAGGAAGCGGAGGGTAATTTTTTTCGGTGTTGATAAATGTCTCCACCATTATTTATAACCCGGTGCGTATAAAAGTAATCCAGTAAAGTAAATCGTAGTTAAAATTGAATATGTGGGATCTAAATCGAATCTCCGTGATTTATTTCTCCACTGAGGTGGATAGCGTCTGGTTTATTTTTAATTTTACGATGTACGTGACTATTAAAATCGAGGCGAGTGGCAGCCATGCGACGAATGTGAGGTTATGTTGAACGCTAGGTTCTGGTTAAATTTATGCGCATATTTTAACATAAATATTTTTTATTAAATTATTACATGAATATACATTATTGTTAATTAAATTTCCATACATTTAATAATAGAAGAATAATGTAACAATATTTTATTGGCGTTTTTATCATTCTCAGGGCTCAAAAGTATGATAATAACGTTCCAATAGTTCCGTTTTTACATTAATATTAAACAATATCACAATAGACATACACTATTAAGGGAAGCACTTTTTCGAAATTTATTTCTTTTAACGAATTTAGAATGAATTGGAGAGGGAAAACTATAAATTCATGCCACGAAACAAATGACAGACCATAATTTACCGATAGGACCAGTCGAAACAAAACCGAAAGAATTAACTCAGTGAGTAGATTATGGCCCGATGTTTTCCCTGGTTGATTGTACATCACATTTTTACTATATACGACCTAATAACATCACAAATAAAATCTTCAGTGTATAGCTTTATTGCATTTACAGTGTAACATTATCTAATAGTCCTATAAGTATCATTCACCCTCGATAAATAAGCTATGTACATTTTGATTCTACTCTATCTTACATAGTCTTAACGTTAGTTGTTAGTCTTCCATTTCTTTGATAAAAATACAATATTGGTCTCTCGTACTTAAATAAAACTCTGGTAAAAAACGTGCAAATAAATGAGCTTTGACGAAACGATAGTGGTCATTTGATAACGATTCAGTCGTGAGTGGAGAACACCCTCATTGTCCGTATACCCGTTTAAAATGGCCGCAGCTCGAGCATGACCCTTCGCCCGAGTCCGTGCTCGTGCTCGCCGCTGCTGCTCTCACAGTCTATCGGTGACACAGAACTGCGTGATCGTTTCTCGTCGGATCAGTCACACTTGAATGTGACGTTTCTCGGACCTGACGCGACCGCCGTCGCCGCCACACTGGCCGCCAGCCGGGCGGCCACCGGATGCTCCGTATCCGAAGGTAAACGATCACTTTGCCGCCATCATTGAAAGTGCCGGATCCCGAAATGTTTGTTCCTCCTGGCGTAGTTACGACCGCACAGGATCTTCTTGAAGGCGTGCCGAAACTCGGGGCTGAAGATGGTGTAGATGATAGGGTTCAGCATCGAGTTGCAATACCTTCACAGAAAAACACCAACATTTCATAAAACAACGTATTCCTGTAGTTGTGGTTTATGAATCCGACTTAAATTTTTAAAGAAGATTGATCACCTACCCCAGCCAAAGGAATATCGAGATGACGTACTTCTGGAACAACTTGGAGTTGATCGGCAGCAGCACCGCCATGATGAAGAACGGCAGCCAACATAGAACGAAAGCACCAGTTATTATAGCTAGAGTCTTCGCCGCTTTCCGCTCGCGCTTCGAGTCGGCACTATCTCGCGATTTTCTCTTCACCGGGTAGTGCTGCGGCTGGTACGTCACGCTGCAGTCGGTAGTCGTGGGCATGTCAGCCTCGAGGCCGTTCGCAAAAGAAGTCTTTTCGGGACTGGAGTTGTTGGAAGAGACCGTGGTGAACGCGGTTGTCGTTTCGGAGATGGTCGGAAGGGGGCGGCCTATGATTGTCACGACTGCGGCGGCTATGCCTCCGGTGCCGCTGGCGGCCGCAAGCCCGCCTGCTATGCCTCCGGCTGCCGGGTTCTGGGACGAGGGGTTGGCGCTGCTTCCGATCACTTGCCGCCTTCGTATGCGTTTACGGGCCGTCTGGAATATCCGCCAGTAGAGGATGAGGATGACGAGGAGTGGAAGGTAGAAGGAGGAAGCCGTGGCGAAGATTTGGTAGTAGAGGTCTTGGCTGATGAGGCATTCTTTGTCGCGGATGCGGTCGTTCCACTGAGGGTCCTTCCAGCCTAGCAGAGGGGCGATGCAGACGAAGAAGGACACGAGCCAGATGATGAAGATCATCATGCCGATTCGCTTGGAGGTGCGCTGGTGGATGTAGTCTATGTTGGTGACGGCCCAATACCTGAAAGTTGGTATTAAATGACTCCTCTTTAATGCAGAATAAAGACCTTTTATTGTTATTATTATTAAGAGTGGTTATATAGCGAGGCTCTTAGCTCAGTTTGACCTCATTTGACCTGAGCTAGGAGCGCCACTTATCGAAAGTTATCGAGTTCTATCCCGACTATCCCCTCATATAGCTTAAGTAGAGATTTATAAATAAAACAATTAAGTGTAGTCAAGGTAGCGTGGGTTCGAATCCCACACCTGACAGTTCTTTTGCGTTTAAATAAAACATATTTTAATGTTATGTTATTTAGTGTATAGATCGAGTCTGCGCAAAACACGACCGTCCCCGGGGTCAAGTCAACCGAGCACAAGTCGCTGACAAACGTTCGATAAAAAGTAGTGGGGCTCCTAGCTCAGGTCAAATGAGGTCAAACTGAGCTAGGAGCCCCACTGTATAACTACTATCATTGTTTAAGTATATTATAGTTGGACAACCTAATACAAATTTTACTTCGCCTAAATAGTGAGCTTTAGGACAAGGAATCTAGGGGGCGTGGGACAAATTTTTCGTCAACGCGCATTTTCACTACAGTGAGCCAATGTATTAGGTTTATTTTACTCTACATCAGATGGCGCCATCAAACATTGAATTTAAATGAATTTGACGCCTATTTTTATATGACTATATCTGAAGGCTGACAGAAACTTTCCAAGGGTTTTTAAACTGGTATAATTGTTTAGTTTTGTAAGATTAAAGTAAAACAAGATTTTAAGTAAAATGTAGATTCGTGGTGTTACAAAAATATTAACACAAAATGAAAATATATGTTCAAAGTAAATAACAGAATGACATAAACTTTCGGCGTTAACATTACAAATAATTACAAGAGAAAAAAAAACGCATTAAGAACTTAAGAGGCATGTTTGTAATATCGAGTTGTTAAAGGCTGTTTTGAAGACTGTTTGTTTCTATGAAAAACAATTGCTGTTATCCGACATTTTGGTAGATTTTGTTCCAAAAATACGAAATAACTAATTGTTTCTTGAACTAGTTTCCGTAACTTCTAAAATTTAAAAAGGATACGCCGTTCTGCTGTAATAAAATCTAGAATAAGGTCAAAATCACACTAATATTACATCTGATTTTGTTAACCACATGAATATAATTTACATTAAAATAAGTTACGGACATTGTTTGAAATGTTTATTATAGTTCGAAAACAAGATAAAATAAATAAATAAATAAAATGTGCAGTTTATAAACTTCAGAATTTTAGTAAAAAAATAATCATGTTTGAAGCTTTATTTTGTCTGTTCCATTTTATTGGGTGTATTGGGCCCCTCTCGGGATATAACATCGACATCATTGCACCGACTCAACGTTCTTCAACCGATGGGATGATTTATTACTTCCGATTTTCGGCTAGATCTGCACAGTTAACTCTTTGCGCACTGCACACTGACATAGAGTATTTTGTTCACGCGAGCATCAAAAATATTACCCCGAAAGCACTTCTTCAAGTGTTATTTTTTTTAAGATGTCATATTTGTCAGCGTTTCCAAAATTTTCTTCTTTGCACAGGTCAACTAATTTTTCGTAAACCGCATTTTAAAATTTTTGTTATTGTATTTTTTACTTTTTAATTTTCTAAGGCATGAAAAAATCCCTTATAGGTTTCTATGAATTTATTAACGAAATCGACTGATAACTTGCGCGCCCTTTTGTGTTAATTAATACCAATAGTGATTATGATAATTTTATAATTATCATTTTAATGAAATTGTGTTCTTCACTTCCCGAACGACAGCAAAAAATTTAAAATTACCCCTAGTCAAGCACCTGAAAATCCATCTTTCCCAAATATGTATTTCTTGGCACGATTTGTAATCCGAAGTCTCCTCCCACATGCAATTTTTCGTCGCCTGAGAACTTGTTTGATCTACAGACCAAAGCACACTCAGGCCAATATCGGCTTTAAGCGATTTATCTTATATAAACCGATATTCGTTAGAGTTGATCTGAAACTAAACGAAGAACTAACCCATTTCGACCATTGGACTTTACAACGAATAAGTGAACAAAGTTCTTGAACATCTTAACGATTTAATACATAATGTTCCCGAATGACAAAATTTACATTTGAAATTGTATTATCAAATTACACTCTCCAAATTTTACAATAGTCAAATTGTAGTTTCGCCCCGTTTACGGTTTATGCAGCCGTGTCGAGTTTTCACCTTAGACGTCAAGATTTTTGGAAAAAAAAATCAACATTTTCCAATTGATAATGTTATTTAAATTTTAAAAAGTAGAATAGTCCTGATCTTGTGATTTATACCTAAATGCGCTATTGGGATTCTTCGGCTTGTCGATTTCTCGATTTTTCAACTTTAAATGTCTCAATTTTTCAATATTTCAATTTGGGGCTTTTTCGATTCCTCCATTCTTTAAATTTTCTATTTCTTGATTTTTTTATTTTTCGATTTCTCAATCTTTCCATGTTTCAATTTTTCAAATTTTCACGTTTCTAAATTTTCAGTTTGCCGATTTCTAAACTATTTTTTTTATTTGTCCATTTCTGGATTTCCTAAAGTTTCGATTTTTCACATCTTCAATTCTTCAATTTTTCGATTTTTTGGTTTTTTGATTTCTCAATTTTTTGAATATTTCTTTCAGTTATGAGATTTTTCAATATTTCAATTTTTCGACTTTTCGATTTTTGAATTGATGGATTTTTTTGATTTCTCGATTTTTTACTTTTTTGGATTTTCAATTTATTGTAAACTTTAGATTTTTCAATTCTGCGACTGTTTAATGCTTCGATTTCACAATTTTTAAACTTTTCGATATTTTAATATTTCATTTTTTAAAATTCTAAGTTTTTCGATATCTCGAGTTTTCAGTTCTTCTATATTTCAATTTTTCAATTTTTCGATTTTTTGAATTTTAATGTTCGATTTTCCAGTTTTTCTTTTCTAAAATTTTTCGATTATTCAATTTTTTAATTTCTCA